GGGGTCGTTAAAGGGTTATCTTATTGTTCAATACAAATACTTTTGGGTAAATGTATAGTAATTCAAATTTAAAGTATCTAATATTGGTGTTAAAGTATTGGAATTAACATTTGAACTTTTTTCTCGATCTATTTAAAATTAAAATTATCAATTTCAGACATAGAAAGTGATACATCCATTTAATTAAAAAAAGAGTAAACAGTTAACAAAAATAGATCGCACGAAGCAGATGATACTTCTTACCTTTGATGTCATGGTTTAAAGAAAAATCTGGAAATAATTATCCTGATGATATATAGGTCATAAATCTGAAAATGAATATGCTCAATTACACGCAATTTTGAAGTGATCTCCCTTTTATATCCGTGCTTAGTGAAGACTTGTCAGACAGTGTGCGTTCACTGAAAAAGGGACATAACTATACACGATCCAGAATTGACCATAAATCCTTGGATTCATAGAAACAATCGTAAGAAACTTGATAGAAAAAAATATAAACATAGTAATTACGACCGATTCTTTGAGTTGGTTTGAAGTTTCATGGATGCGATTAATACAATGTACCATAAATTAGCATAATCATTACCATGGTTACCATAAAGGCTTCGCCAAGTGACAGGACCTTGATGTCGACAGGAGGGGATCGCACTTTATCATTGTGTCAAGTAAACCTGGCCTGGCAAGGTATATCGAAATCTTGCCACGTGAACGACTATAATTATTTTATTTTTATTTTTTTTATTATTTATTTATTTATTTATTTTTTGTTGAGAGGGGGGGGGGGGGGGGGAGGTTGCCAAGGGGTCACAGCCTGGCCCTCCTACTCTTGGGAGAGAAGAAAAAAAAAACATACTGATTTTTTTTCTTTGAAATACCCATGCCATCTGGACTCCAGTGGTGAGGGCGACTTTTGTTAACCATACACTACAGTGCGTACCAAAAGAAACGAAACCGAGAATTATCGATGTTTTATCATAACTTAATCACAATCATAATTAACAAATGACACAAGTTTGTGAAACTGAGATCCTCCTCTTTCATTTGATGCAACTCAAATGATGCATATTTCACGCATGAGTCATTAATTTGAAGAGAGGGTACCACAATTCCAAAGAGAAAATCAAATTTATAGAAAGTTTATTTTCTGCCCTTTTATATGACACCAAACATGAGCCAGGAATAACAAAGTTATGTTTGTTCAAAGTAATGCTTGTATTTGATTAAACGAATTCGTTCCACTGGCTGCCTGCCGTAGCAACAACCCGAATTGAAAAGGACTTGGCTCCGTTTTGTTGATGATTAGCCATGCACAAAGAAGACGAAAGATCCTGATTTTTAAAAACTCTCAATAATGGGTGCTTTGATAAAAGCCTGCTTTCAACATTGTATTTCACTCTTGAACTTTTTTGTTACCTCAGTGTATGTGGGGTCACATTAAGGTGCTGCACATGAAGTTTTATCCAATATTTTGTCTTGAAGTGACGAAATTAAGGCACAAAATAATATGCAGCTTATTGGAAACATTTTTTTTTATTTCATAACATAACGTGAATACAAAGACACTAATGAAGAATGTCATAACAATGAATTAAAATAATTATGTTTGTGAACACAATATTTAATTACCAGGATGGCGTAATGCCAACTGGTGGATTGCCAAATGGATGATCCGTGTCACAAAGTTTATATTTTTTCTGAAATATGTCGCACTGAAGAATAAACAAGATACGAAAGTGTGCACACAGAGAAAAAGAGAGGGAGAGAGCGCGAGAGGGGGAGAGAGAGAGAGAGAGCGAGAGGGGAGAGAGGGGGAGAGGGAGAGAGAGAGAGAGAGAGAGAGAGAGAGAGAGAGAGAGAGAGAGAGAGAGAGAGAGAGGGGTATGGGAGCACAGTTATCAGTACAACGGATTTGGAAAACATCTGAATAGCACTTACCGACAGCATTTTATCAATAATGACATCATATCAAAATCTACTACGCCTGGAGACTGCAGACTACGGCTCCGTGTCCTTGCACGACCTCTATACAAATTACGGGGATTACCCTTGTAATCTAGGGCTTCGCCAACGTTTATATTTTAAAGGGACACTCGTAAACTCGGAAACGTCTGGCTGTAGCTTTTTGCTTCAGAACATTTTCAGTCACTACGCGGTTTTGTGTAGGTTTCCCCTCCCTTTATAAAAAGAAAAGTGTTTGGAATTGAAAAATAACGGGCCGAAAAGAGGTTTTGAAGAAAATGTATTTTCAGAAAGTCCATATTGTAACCATCGGAATAAAAAGAACATAGTTACTTTCCATGATATACAGGTTAATTGTTTTGCTTGGTTGAGTTTTCTTTGAATTTGAACAAATCTGATTTCCCATGTTTTTCTTCTTGAATACGCGTAGTGTTGGTCAAAGCCATATAAAAATACTAAAAGGGTGTTAAACTAAAACAATGAACGAATTTACTTCAATCATGTCTTTGAAGCCTCTGACAAGACTGGGGCACATATGCTGTCTGCCCCGCTGGACTAATTTCTCCATTAAAAAAAACGAATTTCTCGTCCAACTTTTGAGGGGAATTATCACATATTCTTTATTTTGAATTTTAATGTGAATAAACAAATTGAGAAGAAACAATATTATGCTTGAGATATTGGAACTCTCCGTTCTGCCATCTAAGATGTGTCCGAAATTTGGTAGGTTTATTTACCCCCCCCCCCCCTCCCACTCTTTGTTTTGTTCCTTTGCGTCCAATCAACATTTTGTATGACTTTAAGAAGAAGTCTTCATATATGATAGGGAAAACAAGATTATTCAATAATCAGATTTGTTTTAAAACTGCAATTGGCGCTAAATTATTTTATTCTTATTTTAGGACTGTTATCAATAAAATAAAAACACAAATAAATAGACACATAGGTGTGCTAAACACCTTCCGTCATACAAACAAAATTGAAAACTCCGAGATCACTAGATAACACAACAATATATGCATAGTAAATTATGTAGTTATTTGAATTCGGCGTTAGCATTTCCCTATACTCCCGAAATATTCTATCATTGCCCTCTTGGCCATAATTATGATCCTTTTAATCACTTTATTAATAATAACAAGTGCACATGCAAGGTTTATTGTTTGCCCACACCCTCAAAATGACAGTGAAATAATGCTGAACGTGGGCTTATCTACAAGCTATAGTGAAGGTAGACCTTCTTTCAGACAATACATGTGCTCTCGCGTCCGAGATAACAATTTATCCACGTTACGAAACTGTTTGTCCCCCAGTATTAAATGTCATTCATATTGATCAACTTGATAAAACTCTGAATGTCAACCGTTTTGAGGGACGAACTAAATGTAGCTGTGAACGGTCGTTCATGTTCTGCTCGCCATTTGCTTAAACAGATGTTTTGCGATTATCTTGTAAATCAGAGTCCTGGGGACATAATTTCACTAAAATTTATTTACATGAAATTAAAATTATCGAGGTTGATGGAAAATTATAAAAAGTCTTGCTCTTCATGTCTTAACATCATTCATCTTTCGGACTTCCACGGACTTGAAACAACTAGATCTAAATTGGCAACCCGCATTTAAACTACCGTCACCGTTTGTGTTGTTCAACTCTCGGCAGACTAATTAAGTCACCTCAATTGTATTAATTCACTTCCAGATTATTAACAAGAGAGGTCAGATAATCAGTATGGGTATTTCGGTAAGTTGAGTCATTAGCTCGTGTATCGATCATTTTTCGTTATTATCAGTTTTTTAATTATCAGAATTGTTCAGTATTTTGAATTTTTTTCTTCTATCCCGAAATAGGTTGTGGAGTGATTTCACGATATTTTGCAGAATTGTAATGCTCATGATTTTCGATGAATTGAAGTTGAACCTAGTGTTTCTTTCAGTCTCCACCGACTTTACCCAAGAATTTCCCGATCAAGATTAGCATTAATTAGCAGTGGCTCAGGAATCTTCGCGCCCGAAGCAAAATATCGGGTCTTCGGTGTTTTAAATACTTTCATAGGAAGAACGATTAACTTTTATGTATTCATGTTTAGGATAAAAACTTTAAGCCAAGGAAAGTTAATGTGAATTGATCGACAGAAATGTGTTAAATTAGTTTAGTCTGATACACTTCCACAATCGCAAAGACTTATAAAGAAAGCAACTTAGGTCAAGTTTTGCACCCGCTTGTTTTGCCTATAAAAATCATGTTCGAAGTACATTATGAGGATATTGTCATGTTCGCATATTTTGATAGGCGATGCACAATTGCTTCTGAAATGCCTTCGGTTGATTTTTTAATGCTTTGCGAGCGCATGGTCACACTCTCCTTTTAACACCTAACAATGATAAACTATAACATGTAGTCTAAAATATTATTTCAATGCATTTCCATAAAATATCAATCGTAATAATTGTATTATATGTAAAGTGTATTTGTATAATTACCAAGAAGAAAAAAATGAATATGTACATACATTTTTTTTATACTTGATGTAATAATAGGCCTATCTGTAATACCTTTTTTTAATCTTTCTGTTGGAAATGAAATAATAATAATAGTACATTTATAGAGCGCAGAAACTCTCCAACATTAGGTATATATTCTACTGCGCTACAAGATAAATAATAATTTAAAAAAAATACAAATAAAATAAATACGAATTGAATTGAGTTGAATTGAATTTGTCGATTGATTATAAAACACGATGATGATCTTTATGTTTCCTTTTTTTTCCCTCTTCATCTTCAGATCAAGCTTGCTTCTGTTTTCTGCCTGGTGTTCCTTGCTTCCACCGTGATTGAGGACTCTCATGCCATGGGTGAGTGTTTTGAGTGAATCAAACCATAATTATGAACGGCCAGGGTCGTATCCTATCAAGGAGGAGGAGGTGGGGGGGGGGGGGGCTCATCTTTAAAAAATATGTGAGAAGTGACAAAAACATATCAAAACGTCTTTTATACTTGTGCCATTATAAACGTAAATGTGGCAAGTATATAGAGAGTAATTCAGCAGCAATAGGGTATATGATGTTAATATCAATAAAAGCGATCCCCTAAATAATTCGTCAGACTTCGTGTGTATCAATATAGGAACATTGTAATCTAGACGAGGACTGCGGGAAGTTTTGGGATGTTGTGCAGTATAAACCCATTGCCCGCATTTTATGAATTTTGCGACAAAAAATGTGGTAGACTCGGGGCTTACAAGTCCTAAAAGCACGACAAAGAAATCCGCGTTATCGCTGAAAAATTACAGGGTGGAATCCACCACGGCCCTTTGAGGGTTAAGGTAATGTCCGATGTTTTTAAACCTTTCATTTAAATTCATGCTGATATAAATGAATTCTACTGTTTTTCGTCACTCGCAGTATTCATATCGAAGATCGCTCTCCACCTGAGCGATGCGTGTCCCCTGTTTGCCGAGGAGGTCTTAGACGAAGGAGGCAAGTGCGATCCCGACGTCATCGAGGAGGTCATTGACGAAGTCGACGAGATCGAACTACCCGGCGCCAATCCCGACATGATCGAACGCTATTTGGAAGAGGCCGAGCAGGGCAAGATGTGCTTCTCTCCTGATGGGGCCAATGTGTTAAAGCTGCAGGATGGGTGTGCAACCATGGATGCCGTCTGCACCGGCAAAGAGAACGTCATGTACTGCTCACGTAAGTAGTAATAGTTTGTTGACAAATAATCTATGCAATCAGCATGGTCAGTTTAATTATTACCTGTTTTCGAAAGCTTTTACAAGAAACTTATTTCCTTTTTAAAATTTGAACTCCTTAAAAGTGCTTTATAAATTATAATCTCTATCCTAAAATTTAGAGATTCTGAAGCCAAATATGCATTTTACATCATTAAAAATATCTTTTAAAATGCAATTTAGCCTGTCTATTGGGCTATCTTGAGGCCACATACGAGTATGAACTTAATATGAACTTAATCTTCTTCTTGTTCTCGCCTTCTTCTTTCTCTGTTAGGCCCCCTCCAATAAAAATCGGGTCTTATCTGCCTATAGGGTAGCAACATCAGTACCAATACTGCTCTTAATGTGAGCCCTGTAATTGAATTGAATTAATATCTTGCAAAAGGACGTAGATGCCGGGCTGGGATTTGAACCCTCAACCCTAGGATTGAGAGTCAAATAAATGAACCACTTTATACCATGACACCTCCGGAGAATAAAAGCTTCTCCGTGTTTAGGCCTGATCAATTTTACATGTCTTCCAAAGGTGTGATAATGATGTTAACCCCTCTACTTATATTTATACATATTGTTTATTTTCTATTTTTATAGAAATGGCCAGCGTGACCACCGAGACTCCTAACACCACACTCAAGACAACTACTAGGCCTAAAAGGATCGACTGAAGATTCTTGGAGAATCCTAAACCCGTGATCGAATAGACTTTTCTCAACATGCTGCAATTTTCTATTTCATATGATTTGATTATATTTGATTTAATTTGATTTGATTTGATTTGATTTAATTTAATTTAATTTAATTTAATTCAATCTTATTTAAATTGATTTGAATTCTTCTTCTTATCGAGTCACTACACAAGTCCCGTCCAGTGGTCCACACAGGCTTTGGCACGGCAATTCACGGCTTCCAGGTCATCTTGGATTTTATTTGAATTGAATTGATATGATTTGATTTGATTTAAGTTGATTTGATTTGATTTTATTCGATTTTATTCGATTCGATCCGATTCGATTTGATTTGATTTGATTTGATTCGATTTGACTCAAATTTGATTTGGTTTGATTCGATGAGATTTAGTTTTATTTTATATGATTTGATTTGCTATCAATTTTTCTATCATTTAGCTTTTGTTCAATTGCAATGCAACAAAGATTGTAAATATTTTTAAATCTACTTAGACTTTCCAGACATCAAAATATAGATCTAATAGGTTATTACAATACCATTAAATAATATGCTAATCGTTTGAGTTTTAAGCAGTATAAAAGTATAAGGAACTAACAAAGATATAAAACGTTAACACCCCTCCTTCCATACCTTATCCATAGAAATGCAAACTGTTTTAAGAGATACCGTCTCAGAAGATCGTTGTTGATATTCATTCGATTTATGTATAATTTTGGTACATGTACTATTTTCATTTCCCTTTGATTTGTGTATATTAGTAAAAGGTTGATTTTTGTGTACATTTTGGTCGAATAGTATAGAACTTAATAAAATTGACACCCAAACCATGACCTTTATTTGGTTAAAGATAAATATTTTGTTTCAATGGTTGTTAATAAATGAAATGTGTTGACAGTCATGGAAATTGAGAACAGAATGAGTTGACGTGATGACAGAACTGTGAAGTAAAGAGGCTGAGGATAGTGATGAAGATGAAATATCTACAATTAAGGGAAATTGACGATGAGTGAGAGACAGAGGAAGAGGGACACTAGCTAACAGATATACATATTGCGTACGAAGGAGATGGAGGAAGAGAGATAAAGAGAGCGAGAGAGAGAGAGAGAGAGAGAGAGAGAGAAGAAGAAGAAGAAGAAGAAGAAAAGAGAAGAGGGAGAGGAGGAAGAAGGATAAGGGAATAATAATAATGATAATAATAACAATAATGATAATAATAATAATACTGCCAATGATAATTATAATAATGATAACAACAATAACAACAGTAATACTACAAATGAAAATAATAAAATGTTACTTGAAATGATAATAATAATTGTAGAAGTAGAAGTAGAAGAAGAAGATATTAATGATAAATAAAAAAAATCTGGGTTTATAAACTCTTTGTAATTCCGTCTCTGAGCACTTTACAGAAATCAATATTACCCCGTTGTTGAATTCATTCACATTCACAATGTACACCATCTCCAACCCCTGAGGAACATTCCTACCATATGGTCACCTCGAGGGCAAATGGTAATTAATATCACAAAGGGTTTCTTCATCCTACCGGGTCACATTTATCTCCTGGGTATGGAGTGGCAAATGTAGACGATTTATTTAGTAATAATTAATTAATTTCAAACATGAAAACAAACCCCCAAAACAACTGCACTGAACATTTCAATCTCATGCGTTTAGGTGAACGTCAAGAACTTTAAAAGGAACGGCTTTATGAGACTTAAAGACAATAACTGGAGATATCAATTTTTTGTACATACTCAGAACAAAAATGCTTTGGAAGAAGGGTTTGGGCTGCACCCCACCCCTCCCCGTGAAATTATCAATATCCGAGCGACCGTCACTTCATAAGCGAGCTTTAAGGTTCTCTAAATGTAATTGATACGTTTCATGTATTCTGACGAGTTTGACATTATTACATTTGTTACAATGAGGTATGAAATTTATTGCGATGTTATCCCCTCCCCTAGCAAAATTGTCATTGTATATTCATGTAACAGAAATTAGAAAAAAATGGTTTTTACTTTTGGTAATTCGTTATTTGTATCACTTACATTTTTTGTAATCATTGTGCGGTAATCAGATACATAAAAATTAAAGTCTTGTGAATTTTTTTATATTCTAATAATTAGGAAATTAACCAAAAAACGTGTAGTATTAAAATGTTTTTAAAAAATGTCAACATACAAGAAAAGTAATGAAATGAACTCAGAGAGATATGCAGTAAACAATTGAATTATTTGTTGATTTCTGATGCTTAAATTAGAAGTATAATTATGACTTGTAAGAATTGGAAGAAGAAGAAGAACAGAAGTGGAAGAAGAAGAAGAAGAAGGAGGAGGGAGAGGAGAGGAAGAAGTAGAAGAAGAAAGAGAAAAATAACGAGAACAAGAACAAGATCAAGAAGAACAAGTAGAACAAGAATTAAGAGAGATGGAGAGACATAAAGAAAGAGAGACAGAAAGAGAGAGAGAGAGAGAGAGAGAGAGAAAGAGACAATAACAGAGACAGAGACAGAGGGAAGAGGGGAGTGGAGAGACTCAGGAGAGCGTTAGCGAGAGAAGGGATTAGGGCAAAAGAGAACGAGAGAGATAGAGGAGGAAATCGAATTAGAAATTGCGGCTATTTTACGGATAGGTGACAGATTAAAAAAGAGAGAGAGAGAGAGAGAGAGAGAGAGAGACGAGAGAACGACTACTTTGATTTTTTTTTAGTAGTGGTAGTAGTTGTAGTAGTAGTAGTAGTAGTAGTAGTAGTAGTAGTAGTAGTAGTAGTCGTCGTAGTAGTAATAGTAGTAGTAGTGGTAGTAGTAGTAGTAGTAGTAGTAGTCGTAGTAGTAATAGTAGTAGTAGTAGTAGTAGTAGTAGTAGTAGTAGTAGTAGTAGTAGTAGTAGTAGTAGTAGTAGTAGTAGTAGTAGTAGTAGTAGTATGAGTAGTAGTTGAAGTACTGTTGTTGTCGCAGTAGTCGTATAAGAAGTAGAAGTAGTTTATGGTATTTTAGAAATGCTATTTTTCTCACTAAAGTGAAAGTTATGTTTGGAGGAAACAGAGAAAAAAGAATAAATCAATCGATGAATGAACAAATTAATGAATAAAAGAATGAATGAACAAATGAATGAATGAACAAATGAATGGCAGTCAATCTTAATGTTTCACTTTTTACATAACATTTTAGGAAGATTAATGGTTTTCAGGAATAAGGATATCATGATGTTATGATGAACATCGATGTTGTTATCATAAATGTTGTCACTCTCACTTCAATAGAATTCTAGATAATCCCTATATTACATGATTTTTTTCTTTATCATGATCTTAATCTATAGGGTTATAACTTTATCAATTAAAGTAATTTGGTCACTATTAAGGGTCAACTGCCTCGTTATCGAAAAACAATCTGCCCTTTATTACACCTGATATTAAACAAATCGTTGTCTTCGAGATCAACTTTGGTATGTGTATAATTTATTATTATGATGATCACACGACCCCACGAAAAGACACATATCAGTAATGTCGACCTTACATTCATGTAAAAAAAACTTTGGAAAATAGACACATTTTATAACACATGTTCATAACACAGCCTCAGTTGGATAAATGTGGCCAGCTTAAGCCGTTCATGTTGTTAATCTCTCAGTGATGGTCATCGTCAACTAAATGACCGGCGTATCTCCCGGGATCATCCTTCTTGCATCCATAGGCTACGCGCTCAGGGCGCATTTCGTAAACTTTATTGATCGATTTCTCGATAAATGAATAGAATTATATCCAATTTTCCGAGGTTAATACGAATGTATAAAATGCTGGGCATGTCTTCTGCAACTTCATTCGGCTTCACTGGTTGCCTCTACACAGAAAGAAAACAGCTCTACTCAACTTTAAGCGAGTTTGCAAGATATCGACTAAACGCTTCTCAAACTCTATTTGATTTTTTTTTGGTCCAAACTCAAGAGGGCGACATCCTACCATGGGCATTTCGGTAAGTTCGGGTTCGAAGACCAAGTAATGAATAAACTTTTTAAATGATAATTGAGCCGACAGTAAAGCACTAACACATGGATTACTATCTTAATCCATCTCAAGTTTATGATGTGTATGGAAAGTCACAGATTACTGAGTACAATCACAATATGTATTAGGAAATATTCATCATTCTAAACAAAATTGGAAAGATAGCAGTAACTTTAAGATATTTATTGCCTTTATTGGGATTTATTTTCTTTCTTGGCAAGTCCGACTCCAAGTATACCGTGTACTTGTTTAATGAAAATAATACAGATACTGTTGACTGCGGTACTTGTTCTGCTTTTACGTCTTTGCTATTACATCTAATTTACTTTTTGAAATGTTTGATTTTATGTAGGTACACTGGAGTTTACTTTCTTTCCTTCTATATTTTCAGATGAATGTTGCTGCAATCCTCTGTCTGGTAGTCATAGCTGGTGCAGCTATAAGGACCACCGACGCTATGGGTAAGTCGAGTCTTTAGTTTATATGTATATATATCCAGAACCAATAACAAAAATGATTATCAAGCTTGTTACACCAATGGCTTCCTTGTTTGAGTTGGTGGCTGCACGTAAAGTGGTAACCTAGCTACAGGTGGATGGGGTGCAATCCCCGGCCACGAATGGCAAAAAGAGACAAATTACGAAGTAAAACAAGCGATAGAAAGAAAGAAAAGAAAGGAAGGGAGGGCAACGTTAATAGAAGAAGAATGCTTCTTTTTCAACATGTATTATGTATTATCCTTTCACATTTCACTTATTTGGTAAGACCGATCGATGTACGACCCCCTCCCCACCCCCACCCATGACACCGATACTAGCTGGACCCATCACTCGTCCCTCGTCACTTAAGGAAGCAATCATAATTAACTTATCCCTAACCGGAAGTAATTCATATACCACTTTAACTCCCATACCACGCGTGCCACAGTTTTCACATCGAAGATCTCGCTCCACCTCGACGCGGCGTGCGGCCTGTTCATGGAAGAGCTCATGGACGAGGGAGGCAAGTGCGACCCCGACGTCATCGAGGAAGTCATGGACGAAGCCGACGAGATCGAGGGACTCGGCGGCATCGACGGCGAGAAGATCGAGGATTACCTGGAAGAGGCCGAGGAGGGCAAGATGTGCTACTCACCCGACGGCGAGAACGTGACGAACTTGAAGGATGGGTGCTCGGCCATGGAGGCAGTCTGTAACGAGCAAGCCAACGTGATGTACTGCAAGGGTGAGTCATTAAATTAAAACACGATTGCGAAGACTTTCGAGAAGTTAACTCAAAGGCAATTTCATTTCTCCATTGTATGTCCCAAGGAAATCATGCTTAGGGCTCAATGGTATTTTAAGAGTTGCGATTGGTCCGAATCGATTTGTAAGTCCTCCAATCAATCGCAAGTTTACACTCTCCTTCATATTATGTAAATAGTTGCAATCGCTAATAAGTTGCTATTAATAGCAACTGTTCACAAGACTAATTACGTAATATCATCATAATTGCAATGTTTACTCAAAATACAGAAATATATAAATTGCCATAGGTTGGCTTGAGCAAGGTCCAGTGTAGATAGGCACAATAGAGAAAGATCCAGAATTGTGTATGAGGGAGAGATTTAGTATGTGATTGCATAAATGTTCTTCACATGAAAAAATGAAATAAATACATAGATTAATGAATAATTAAATGAATAGACAAACAAAAAAATAAGAAGAAATGAACTAAACAGCTAAATAACTAAACATAGATAAATGAAAGAATGAATGAATAAAAAATATATTAATTTTCTTTCTTTTGCCTCTACTTTTGCAGAAATGGCAACCGTCACCAATACCCAGTAAACCAAAGCACCCAGAAGAGTTTCGCTTGAACTTGTGGTTTCCCTCAAAGAAAATGGTTTTCCAGTTTTTAATACTGTAGCGACCTCTGAAGAAACCATTCATGAGTATTGCATATAATGGTATTACGTCATTATTCAGCACCCGTGCGTTATAATTTCGAATGGAAAAGGGGATTTAAAATCAAATCATTACTACCAGAAGTATTATTTCTCATCGTCAACCATATTTATTGTTTCTTTCTTTCAAAGTTGACCGGTACCTAACCTCCCAAAAAATTCTTTCCTACTAATTGATCTGTTTGATGAATACTATCAACCATCAAATTTAGAGATATCGACAGTCTTAGTTTAAAATTTGTGGGCCAAACATTTCTCGCCTTTCGATGTGCATGCCACATTACAAATTTCGATAAGAGAAAACGAGGCCTTATAATTGTCAAGCGATGCATCCCTTTTTTTTTGTTCATTCTCTTTGATTGAGCGCAGTTTTTATCTAAAACATTGAGAAGAGAGTTAGACTGTAAACCCTTTAAAAAAAAATAGTTAAATCAAGCAAAATTCCATTAACATTTGTTTAATGTATGATACAGTAGATTTTAGAAATTTGATATTTCTTCTTTTTTTCTTTTATGTTATGGGGTACTATTATTTTTGTTTGTTTATTTTTTGTTTATGTTTTTCTGCATGTACATTTTTCTTGTTTTTATTTGTGACTATGTAAAAATCGTGTAATATGAAATAGCAAATCATGTAATAAAAAGGTAACTCATGTTTTAAACAGAAGTATACACGAATTTACTTGACTGTAACATGTGAATATGAATGTACATGAACATTGGTCGAAATAATAGTCGGAGGAAAAGGTGAACATCTGAAAAGGTGAATTGGACGATGGGCATTCAGACAAAAATTGATTCCGGATACATCAGTTTGAATACTTACATGATGAAAAGGGCAGTATAAAAAGAGGAGGAGAGGGAGCGACAGACAGACATACAGAGGGGAGAGGCAATACAAACAGACATATATGGAAAGGGGGATAAACAAGGATCTACAGTGAAAGAAATAAGGACAGAAAGACAGACAGACAGACACAGACAGAAGTGGGATGAAAGAGATAACATTGACAGCAAGAGGGAGAGAGAGAGAGAGAGAGAGAGGGAGAGTATGTGTGAGAAAGATTGATATACATATATATATAGAGAGAGAGAGAGAGAGAGAGAAAGACAGAGAGATAGACTGAGTGAGTGAGTGAGAGGGGAAGAGAAGGGGAGAGAGGAGGGCAAGGCAGAGAGGGACAGAAAGAGAGAGAGAAAGAGAGAGAGAGAGAGAGAGAGAGGGGGGGGGAGAGATGGCCACGGAAGAATCAATTTGAGTTGTATGGTATGGAAACAAATCAGACACGAGTCACAATTTCGACGAACTGGTAGACGAACTGGTAGACAAACTGGTTGTAGACCAAATGGCAATAAACCGAGAGACCCGCTAAGAAAGAGAAAGTATAAGACTGCATCATGGAGAAAGGCAGGAAGAGCAAAAGCAGAGAGAAGAAGAAAAGATTGATAAGGAGTAAAAGGGAAAGTGCATTAAACTTTGAATAAGATGAAACACATGAAGAGGAGAAGAATAGGTTTATACACATTTCACTTCAAGATTTCTCCTTCATGTGAAGCAAATAGCTGCAGTCAAAAGGGCCTCTTTTTTGGACGCAAAACTAGGAAGAAAACCAAAAGCACTGACAAGACATGACAATGTACCGAGAAGACGCCAAATGAAACCTGCTATTGAATCATTCAACCTGCCTGTTTAAACAATTGTTTCATCTTCACAATGAATACAAGTTATGTTTCACTTGCCAAATACACAATGAATTATGTACAACATTAATGATTTCAATCATTTACATGAAATAGATTATTCAGGGGCACGACGAATCAATAAAGGGCATCAAAAGGGTATTGTGATCTTTGCCATGCGAAACGTCAGGAATTCCTCATATGCTTGATTTGCAAGGCCAGTTATTTTTCTAGATACTGGGCAAGTCTTAATGTTTCTTGAAGTAGCATTATTAGATAACTTGTATAAATATGATAAGAAATTCAGGACTCACTATTCGATTGCAGCACCAGTTAGAAGCCGGTTTCAGAGGAGCTCTCAAGATATCTTGAAAAAGAAAAAATCCCCGTTGGATACAAGATGGCATCAAACATAGTAAGTCAAAGATTTAGTCTTGTTTATCTGAGCAACTTTAATATTCAGTATAGAATAAATAGTTACTAGTCTATTTGAATTTGATATCGTAATTTGTTTGTTTGTTTTCTGTAATCAGCAACATATGACGAATATTATATGATTTGATGTTACATACAAATACGGCGTGCTGAACCCCCGTGGTTTCAGGAACGACTGGTCGTCAGCGTTGAAGGGGGGGGGGGGGGCGTTCAAATGGAATACTCCCTGTATTCACAGAGGGGCGTTTGCCTTTTTTGGATTGTATTGGTGTTTTGAGATAATGCGAAGAAACGATTGGTATTGCAATAGTTCAGTTGAAAAAATGTACAATATCGTACGCCAGTGATAGGCCTACTTTAAACGTAATAATGATAAAGTCAATTGTTGTTGGGTACAAATTATACTATAACTGATATATTGTGTGTTTTATTGCTCGTACACTACACAAAATGTACCAGAGAATGGAAAATCCAGACTGACACAAAATAATAATCAAAATGCAAATAATTTTTTTTTTTTTGGATTTAAAAAAAAAAAAAAAATGAAATTTTGTATAACGATTTATTGCATTTTCCCTATATATTCTACAGAAGAGCATGATCTTCGCAGTATGTGTCTTCGTAATGGCTCTCTCTGTTGTCAAGGGATATCGTAAGTTGAATTTCAAATCATTTTATTTCTGTAATTATATGATGATTTAAGGCACCCAAATCTCGACCATGTATACGGCAATTCAGAAATTTGAACCAGTTCCCTAGCTACCTCGATGTTATGGGGATTATATATTCTTTATAACTATATGACAATCTGATTGGAAATAATTTGATAGATAACAGATTAATATTTACTCCAATTGCCTTCTTCGTTTTGGTCCTCTGTATGTATCTAAATGATTCATTGGCTGAAATTAACTGTAGCTTTTAACAGTCGCCACGCCCACCTTAAAGTCCCACTGTACTACTTTTAGCTACTTGCGCCCTCTTTATAGCAAACAATGCCTAATCGGTGACCGTTAGTCCCTCATGATCCCCTTTTTCTTATGTTATTTGAGAGCTAATTTGATGAGATAACCACCTGTCATTGATCATGTGTAATCCATCCTGACCCAACTAGTGCAGATAGGCTTTAAGCTTTTATTTATTTCCGTTTCGAAAATCCTTTTAATTCGAGTATTCCTTTTCTCCATAACAAAAACCACTCCCACTATATAAAGCGACTTCAACAGCCCCGTCAATCATGACGCAGCATCTCCGCGAGATGTGCAGCTTTTACATCAAAGAGAAGGGGTTCCCTGGCATCAGTGGCTGCAACAGCGACGTCATCGAGGACGTGAAAGAGCACGGCGACAACCTGCAACGACCAGGGCAGTACATCCCGAATTGGAACGGTGACAATGTCGAAGTCTACCTCAACATGGCGAAGAGATCAAACATCGTCTGCACAGCACAAGGCGCGCCAATCAAAGGCGCATGCGCAGCCATGGAAGCTGTCTGCACATCCAATGAGAACGTCATGCCATGCGCAAGTAAGTCTCAAATTTGACGTCACATCCGATCTGTATTATGGCGGTGCCAAATTTTTACAAGGGGTGGTTGGGATAAATATTTTCCACATTTTGGAGAAGGGGGACGAATTTCTTTCCATGTTCCAGATCGCGAAGATGATAAGATTTCTTTTCAAAGAAGTTGGGAGGAACAATTTTCTTTTTCTCTCAATTCCACATCAGGAGAGAGAGAGGAAAAAATTATGAGCTCCCACCCCACCCCTCCATCCCACATCTCTCTCTCTCTCCCTCTCTCTCTCTCTCTCTCTCTCCCTCTCTCAATCCTTCTCTCTCAATGAAAAATAAGATGGAAATGATGTTATTGGGGGAGAGGCAGGGACCTGTAACAGTGTAGAGGTAAAGAGGTCTAGATAACTAAATTCAGATTTTTGTTTGTTATCCTCTTTTTTTTTTCTTTCTTACACCATTTATTTGAAAATGCTCTGAGTAAAGGAAATGAACGCTTGGGTCTATATTCCGGTCTATAATTAGTCCATTTTCAATGTTCGTCTTTCATCCAGTGGTAACAGCCGCACTACCTACAACAAGCTCCACAGTTCCAGCTACCACTCCACCTACAAGTACCATCGCAACCACAACTTCATTTCCTACAACCACTGACACCAACACTACTACCACTGCTTGATTCTCTTACTATTATCATCGGCAACACCGACAACAGGCTCTAATACCCTTGCTACCAGTCCTACCACCAACAATAGCACCACAGTTCCTACCACCACCATTACCACTGCAACCGCTAGCTTCTCTCACCGTCATCAGCAATAACACTGACAACTAGCCCGATGACTCCAGCCACCGCTTCTCCTACTTCCGCACCTACCATTACTTGATTCTCCTACCACACGAACCACCATCATAGCTTATACTATGGAATAGTTGTCCAGTGGTAGTTTACTTAGGATAAATTGTCCGGACGATATCTTTAGTTATTTTTTCTGCAGTTGTCCTCATCAAGGAAAGTGGGGCTTCATTTCAAAAAGTCTTTGAAAGGATTTATCGGCTTTTATCTCTCGACGACCAAGTGCCACTTTCCTTAGTTAATTCTGATTCTGATTTAAAGTGCTAAATATCCAACTGACATCCCAATATTTTTCTTCAATTTTATTGTTTTGATACATTATAGTTTGGATGTGATATAAGATGATTTGAATTAACTCGACAAGTATATAGGCCTGTAAAATATTCAATGCATCATACATTTCATTCCTTTTGTAACAACATTTTGTATGGTTTGATTCGATTTAGATTAATTCGTCGAAAACATAGGGAAGCGAATGCATCTTGACAGAACAAACTAGTACAGCTAACAACTGGCTTATTTATTATGGGGTCAAAATCCTTTCAAAGAACAATCTACTTAAAATATGTCGCTTTGAATCTTAATGCGTGATGAAATAAGTGTTAATATTGATTCATGTTACTAATGAATTATGTCTTATTTATGATAAACTATTAACTATAAAATACTCGATGGTGTATTAATTCGTGTTGGTTTGAACTCACTGGCACAGACTCTAATGTCGAAGTTAGAGAGAGAGAGAGAGAGAGAGAGAGAGGGGAGAGAGACAGAGAGAAACAGAGAAGGGGGTGAGGGGAGGGGATAGAGGGAGAAAGAAAGATAAAGTGAGATGGTGAGTGAGACAGAGACAGAGAGACAGAGACAGAGAATTTATTTATTTATTTATTTATTTATTTCTAATCTTTTGACAGGGTAGCCCATTC